GCAAATATTCATGGTAATTTTTGACTTATATTTGAGAATCTCTACACACTTTGCTAAACTGTGATTGTATTCTAGGGTCACAAGTCTTTAAGGTGCTTTTGTGCAAATTAGAAGATAGCCCTAAGACTAGCACCAATCTGTGCTGGGTGGAGCTCAAGGCTTGGAAAGCAGGACTCACCCTCAGCCCTACTTACTGCCTTAGTAATTTACTCTTACTTGGTACACAACCAGCCCATGTGTTCACAAGAGTGCTGTCAGACTTAATTTTCATAAACAATTCTAGGATACAGGTACGTTTCTCACCATTTTATTTTATCTATTTAATTTTTTTATTGAGTCACCATGAGATGCAGTTACAAAGCTTTCATGATTGAGTTTCAGTCATACAATGATCGAACACCCATCCCTCCACCCGTGTAGCTTTTCCAGCACCATTGAACCAGTATCCCTCCCGCCATCCCCACCTCACACTACCCCCTGCCTCTATGGCAGGCAGTTTCCTTCTTACTCTCTCTTTGGGGCAATATGGTTTACAATACAGATACTGAGAGGCCATCGTGTTTGGTTCTTTGTCTACTTTCAGCACACATCTCCCATCTTAAGCAATCCCTCCAACCATCATTGACTTAGTGGTCCCTTCTCTATCCCAACAGCTACTTGAGGCTGGTTTCCAACCATGGACCAATCCTCCTGACCCTTGTCTCTATTGTCCTGGGGTATTAGTCTCATAATATGTTATTTTTATATTCCACAAATGAGTGCATCTACACAATGGAATACTATGCAACTTTTAGAAAAAATGAAGTAATGAAATTTGCTAATAAGTGGATGGACATGGAAAGTATCATTCTAAGTGAAATGAGTCAGAAAGAGAGAGGTAGACATAGAATGACTGCACTCATTTGTTCTCCCCATTTTAGATCTCTTCCCCAAAGTCATCCTAATTTTATGTCTGAATATTGAGGCCATGAGTAATCAGATCACTGACCCCACAGGGACACAGTCAGTATTAACTAGGACAGTCCTCAGGAAGCCTTCAGCACAGTGTCTAACAGGTAGTAAGTGTCTCTATTAGCCTGGGAAAGTATTATTTTCCCATTTGGTATTTAACTGGCCTTGCAGGTTTACCAAACTACTACTTTTTTACTTTTTACTTTTTGGTTTTTGGGTCATACCTTCCAGTGTTTAGGGCCTATTTCCAGTTCTGTACCCACTAGTATTACAACTGGCAGTGTTTGAGGGACCCTGTGTTGCCAGGATTGAACCTCTCCTCTCACATACAAAGTGAGGACCGAATTCTGTCCACTGAGCTATCTCGTTGGTCCTAACCTACATTTTTATAAAATAAAATTTTCTCTCTCTCTCTCTCTCTCTCTCTCTGTGTGTGTGTGTGTGTGTGTGTGTGTGTGTGTGTGTGTGTATCAAATCTAGGACCTCACAAGTGTGAGGCACATGCTATACCACTGAGGCACATCCCCAGCCCCAATTTTTTTTTTATCTTTTCCGTTACAGATTTGGCTATGACTTTTGCTTGGATGTGCTGTGAAGTCCAAATAAGTCGTCTTGACTTGAGTAGACAGCCACTCCCATGCTGATTAGGGGATGTGCAAGCTCAAAGAGTCCCCCAAATACATGGTGCCTCCCGTGGTGCAGGCCGAGTTGGGGAGCGGGGGGATGTGGTTCTGTATCAGAAACTTTTTGGATTCCCAGACACTTTCTTTGTAGAACAGAACATGAGCAGGAAAAAGAGGAGTAGAAAATAAGCAATGTCAGCCTGGAGAGATAGCACTGAGGGTAAGGTGTTTGCCTTGTATGTGGCCAACCCGGGTTTGATCCCTGACATCCCCTATGGTTCCCTGAGCACTTCCAGGGGTAATTCCTGAGTACAGAACCACAAATAACTCCTGAGCATTGTGGAGTGTGACCCAAAAAAGCTGGGGGGGGGGGAGAAAGAAAGAAAGAAAGAACGAAAGAAAAAAAGAAAGAAAGAAAGAAAGAAAGAAAGAAAGAAAGAAAGAAGAAAGAGCGAGCAATGTCCCTTAGAAGAGACAACTTTTATTTCCACTTAACTCACCCTTCGTAACTTAGTCATAGGGACAACAAACTGGCTGCAAAGGATACTGGAAAACAGTCTCAAGCAGGAAGGCCTCCTCCATGATAAAACAGGGGTATGATAGCCATGGGCCTAGCTCCTGTTCTAAAAGAAATAAGAGAATCCCAGAGTGCAATTGGCAGTTGGCATCACACCCTCCCAAACTCTATGCCCTCATATGCAAAGTTCCTCCCTTCCTGGAATTATGGATAATGTGTTCAGCTGCAAGAAGTTCAGTTCTTGGAGAAGCTCTTTTGTTGGGGATAATTATAAGAGGTAACTCAGAGTAAGGAAAAGAAATGCAAAATAACAGTCCTGGATTCCTGAGGGTCTTAGCGAATTCTCTTTCCTGGACCTGGACCATCTTCCCAGGCTTCCAGTTAATTGCTACCTGTTCTCCAGATGCCAATTTAGAGCCCCATCCTCAGAAAAGCAGACTTTGCTTCTTCCCTTCTGTTCCCCCCCAGTGGAAAGAAGGAACCCCTGAGTTCTGTTTTTCAGGTCTGAACACAGAGGACCAAGATGGAAACCCCTTTAGAATCTGGTGCTTCTTTCCCTTTGGAGGAGTCATGAAAATCTAATAATCTCAGTCAATGAAATGTTCATGTCAGAATTTTCTAGCTTTCTCTGAAATAAAATTACTTCTCGTATGACTTCATTAATTCTTCCAAAATAGTGGGGCGGGCGGGGGGGGGAGTGGAAGGAGGGAAATTGGAGACATCAGTGTTGGAAAACTACACTGGTGAAGGGGAGTGTTGGAACATTGTGTGACTGAAACCCAATTATGGACAACTTTGTAACTGTTTACTCATGGCGATTTAGTAAAAAAATTTTAAAAATAAATAAATAAACAATTCTTCCAAAATAAAGCCTCTGAATTTTCTGACAGAAACTTACTTAGACAATTTGCACTTTAAATTAAATCTAAGGGTGGAACTGAAATTTAAGGGAAATCCCATTAGCAGAGCTGGTAAGACAAAGTTAATCAGAGTTCAATCCTTCTCCTTGCCCATAAGCATACCTTCTCTCCTCCTCCCCCGCCATCCACCCTTTCTCTTCCCTTATTGTCATTATGATGTCCAAGGATTATAGACCTGATTGTGAAGTACTCGAACTTTTGGCACCAGTCCCTGCCACAGGGCTGGGTATAGAACTCATGACCTTATGCCTGCAAAGCAGGCACTGGGTCCCTGAACCATACTCTCTGAACTTTGAGTGCACTTTTTTACATTATAGTTGACATTTGACAAGAGCCCTAGTTGATTCAGAAAAGAAAAGAAATTCAAGGGGAAAGGAGATAGACGCGAAGCAATCAGAAGAAGGGGCCAAGGGGATTCAGGTACCTAGGTGATGTAGCTAAACACTCAACCACAAAGTCAACAAGACTAGAAACAAGAGGTCCAAACTTCAACAAGCAAACTTAAAATGGTGCCTGTCAAGGCGGCAGGCTGGGAATGAGAGGTTGGGGCTGGGGATTGTGGGGAGGGAACTTGGGAACCCTGTGAAGAAAGAAGACAGTGATGGTAGAATTGGTGCTGGAGCGTAGTATATCTAAACCCCAACTATGAATGTCTTTGTAAATTAATATAATTTTAAAAAGAATTTTAAAGAGTCCCAGTCAATTCAGTAAGGTATATTACACATTGACTGTCAAATTAAACTTCTACGGTCAAGTTTTGGTTTGTGTAGATTTTTCTACCCATCTATTTTTCATACCTAGGTTGCTCAAAATTTACTCACCTTCTAAGGAAGGTGAGTTTACTATGAGAAAATGGTTTGTTTTGTTTTGTTTTGTTTTCCTTTTTGGGTCACACCCAGCGATGCACAGGGGTTACTCCTGGCTCATACACTCAGAAATTACTCCTGGCAGTGCTCGGGGGACCATATGGGATGCTGGTAATTGAACCCGGTTCGGCCACATGCAAGGCAAATGCCCCAATCACTGTGCTGTCATTCCAGCCCCTACTATGAGTAAATGTTTTGATTTGGTCTTTTGTCTATTTCAGGGACCATACCTGGCTATTATCAGGTCTTACTCTGGTTGTGTTTGGGGTCCCTCTCAGTTGTATTTTGGGAACCAAAATAAAAAAAATAAGTCCTTGAAGGACTGGAGCACAGCGGTACAGCAGGTAGGGTGTTTCCCTTGCATGCAGTTGACCTGGGGTCAATCCTGGGCATTCCATATGGTCCTGGACCACCAGGAGTAACCCCTAAGTGTAGAGCCAGGAGTAACCCCAGAATATTGCCAGGTGTGACCCAGAAAGCCAAAAAATAAAAATTCCTTGAATTGTGTTCAGAGTTGCCTGTATGGGGTGGGGTTTATGTGCCAAAAGCAAAACTATAATAACTCTTACTCCAAACTGCTATGCAGATTATGCAAATTGGGGTTACAAGTTCATCAAATCCTTGTGTGATCCTTTACACAAATAAGGTGAGACTAGAAATTACTTGAGATTTTAAAAAAATTAGTCCTGTAATTTATCTAAGTCAAATTTTTAAGGTAAAGGTAAAGGTCCTCCCGTTGATCGTCGATTTGCTCGAGCGGGCCCAGTAACGTCTCCATTGGAGATTTTGTTGTTACTGTGTCTGGCATATCGAATACTCTCGGTAGCTTGCCGGGCTCTCCGAAAGTCAAATTTTTAGCATAATATTATTTCAAAGGCAGTTAAGGTCATGAATATTCTTGAGGTGATTCACAGTCTATTTTTATGCTAACTTTAGAACTCTGTATATTTTGTACTTAATGGCCTATCTCAATTCACATGCCAAATTTTAATCAGATCAGTATTTGTACATCATAAAATTTACATTTGAGAAATGTATTTACATGCCTATTTTATTCAAATGCATTTAGAAGTTTTTCAGTAACTTCATTGAATATAAAGTATGTTTGATTTAAATTAAAATCGAAAGTATGACATTATTTCCAAATTTACCTGTGATCCTAATGCAGGGGCCATGCTAATCTTCTCGGTATCGTTCCCATTTTAGTATATGTGCTGCCATAGCAACACTCAATGGAATTCTGACTGGTAGCATAATATGCAAATCAGGTGAAAAGTTAGTTGAGAATTATTAGCTGCTTTTCATTCTTGGGTTTTGAGCCACACCCAGGGGGCCCAGGGCTCACTCCTGGTTCTGCACTCCGGGATCATTCCTGGTAGGCTCAAGGTTTCTGAGGATTGAACCTAGGTTATTCACATGCAAAGAAAGCACCCACCCCTTGTGCTATCTCTCTGGGCCCTGATTTTCAATCTTGAGAGGTTGGAAGTGGGCAGGCTTTGGTTGTGCCTTTTTTTTTTTTTTTTTTGTAGATGCCTGTGTCGAAGCATGTCAGGACATGCCTAGATGTGCCTGGAGCCTGATTCTCCACCATTTTCTGACTGTTTTAGTTACCCTGGTACAAAGACCCCTAAATATTTCTTTTTTTTAATTGCTTTTTGGGTCACACCCAGCGATGCCCGGGGTTATCCTGGCTCTGCGCTCAGGAATTACTCCTGGCGGTGCTTGGGGGACCACATGGAATGCTGGGGATTGAACCCCGGTCATCTGCGTGCTAGGTAAATGCCCTGCCCACTGTATTATCACTACAGCCCCCTAAATATTTCTTATTTCTTCTCAAGGTAAGATGAGAGTTTTTGTGGTCTCACTTCTGGTGTCACTTTCATCTCAGACTATCGCCTTAAGGTGAAAGTAGCTCATGGCAACCTGCCCTGTGAAAATGACATCCGGACCAGGGATGTCATTTAGCTCAGTGGTAAAGCTTGAGTGGTAGATCTTGTATGAGCGAGGTCCTGGATTTATCCCCAGGCACTACACACACACACACACACACACACACACACACACACACACACACACATCCAGCACTCATTGGCCACACCTATCTCTATATCACTGTGCAATGAAAATTTTGTGCACTTCTTCATTTTGGGACATTAAAGTACTGTTGCAACAGTCGTCTTGTTCAGATTTTCTCCTATTGAATGATGATGGCAGCTTAAAGGAGATGATAGCAACAAAAGGCAGATGGAGAATTAGCCTCTTTCATTGTACCCTGTGTGTGAGATCAAACAGGGACTAGAGGTAAAGTATGAAACCTTACTGCTTGTGAAAGATTAACTTTTCCAAATATACTGACTTTCCAGCATTCCCTCACATCCAGTTTTACTGGGAGAGTGGAGGGGTTGGTGACTTCTCTCAGAACCTCAGGAGCTATATATTCTCAGAGGAAGAAACAGTGAAGCAGAGAAAAGATGACCTCTCACATCCAATTCTTTTTTTTTTTCCTTTTTGGGTCACACCCCGCAATGCTCAGGGGTTACTCCTGGCTCTGTACTCAGGAATTACTCCTGACGGTGCTGGAGGGGCCATATGGGATGCTGGAAATCAAACCCTGGTCAGCCGAGTGCAAGGCAAATGCCCTACCCGCTTTACCATTGCTCCAGCCCCACCTACATCCAATTCTTGACCAATAACTTCCACAAAGCCTACCTCACACCCTGAGACTCCCAGAAGCCTCAAATAATGCCACTCAATATTTGTGATTGTGATCCAAGTGCTAGCCCTCCACCCGTGGGTCTGTGTGCTCAGCACTGGACACCAATTCACCTTAAGGAAGAAGCCACATCTAATTGGACCTGATTGGACAACATGAGTTTCCAAGAGAGAAAGAACATGGACACTTCCTCCCACAAGCCCCTTCCCCCTTAAAAATTTTGCTCTAGGGCAAGAGAAATAATCCCAAGGACACAGTGTTTACCTTGAATACCACTGATCCCAGTTCAATCCCCAGCACCACATATGGTCCTCTGAGCTTGCTAGGGGTGATACCTCTGAGCACCACTGGTATGACTCACTTAATCACTTAATCACTTAACTTCCCGTTAGTCGTCGATTTGCTCGAGCGGGCGCCAGTAATGTCTCCATTTGTCCCTGTCACGTGCTAGTGTAGCCCAATGGCATCTGTTCGCTCCGGGAACATGAAGGGTCTCAAACCGATCGTTCATGATCTTCACGAAGAAGTCTGACCATCTGGAAGGTGGGCAGCCACGCGGTCTTTTGACATCCCGTGGAATCCAGTCGGTAACAGCTCTAGTCCAGCGGTCGTCTTTAAATCTCATTACGTGACCAGCCCATCTGATTTTCGACACCTTGGCAAATGAGACAGCGTCCCTGATTCTTGATTGTCGACGGATGTCAGAACTCCGGATTCTTTCTCTCATTTGAGTGAAACGTGATATTCCAAGCATAGCTCTTTCTATTCTTCTTTGGGAGACCTGAATAGCGTTCTCATCTTGTTTGTGTAGGGCCCAGGTCTCTGAGGCATATGTTAATGCAGGAAGAACAGTGGAATCAAAGAGATGTGCCCGGAGCCGGAGGTTCTTCGTCCTCTTAGCTATTTCTTCGACGTTCTTGAAGGCGTTCCAAGCTGCTCTCTTCCTCCTGCGCAGCTCGGGTGCCAGGTCATTTGTCATGTTGACCTCTCGACCTAGGTACACATAGCTGTTGCATTCGGAGATGGTCGTTCCATTGAGAGCGAATGGGGCGTCAGAAACAAGGCTGTTTCTCATAAACATTGTCTTCGTAAGATTCAGCTGTAGTCCTACCTTTCCACACTCACGGTCAAAGTCGGCCAGCATTTGTGCCACTTGGCTGATGTTTGGTGTTATTAAAACAATGTCATCAGCAAAGCGGAGGTGGTGTAGTTGCCAACCATCTATCTTCACTCCCATTCCTTCCCATTCCAGTCGTCGCATGATGTTCTCGAGGGTGGCACTGAAGAGTTTCGGTGAAATGGTATCACCCTGCCGCACCCCTCTCTTGACATCAACGATCACTTCTTTGTAGAATGGTGAGATCCTGGTAGTGAATCCGCAATACAGCTCACGGAGGATCCTAATGTATTGGGCTTGAATGCCCTGATTGGCTAGGGCTTCAATGACCGCTTCCGTCTCAACAGAATCAAAGGCCTTCTTTAAATCAATGAAAGTTAAACAGAGCGGCATCTTGAACTCCTGAGAAACCTCAATGAGCTTGGTTATTGTGTGGATATGGTCGATGGTGCTGAATCCTTTGCGGAACCCTGCTTGCTCGCATGGTTGTCCTTCATCTAGTGTTCTGCCAATCCTATTTAGGATGACTCGAGTGAACAACTTGTAGATGACAGACAATAGGCAGATCGGGCGATAGTTGCCAATGTCATGGATGTCTCCCTTCTTGAACAGTAGTACGGTCCTGCTGGTTTTCCACTGGGACGGAACCTTGCATTCAGACAGGTAGCATGTGAAGAGCCGAGCCAGTGTATTGATGAGTACTGACGGCAGGTTCTTCAGGTGTTCAGGTCTGACCTTGTCTGGGCCGGGTGCTGTTTGTTTCTTTACTGACGAAATGGCGTGTCAGATTTCGGAAGGGAGAACATTGGGAACGACATATCCATCCTGTGGAATTTGGTATGTCGGCAAGTGGACATGGCTATTGAAGAGATTTGAGTAGAAGTCATGGATAATCTTCTCCATTGCCGTTCTGGAGGATGTGATGGATCCATCAGGACGTCGGAGGGCAGTCATCTTGGTCTTATAGTTGGCGAAGGACAGGCGGGCGTTACGAATACTTTTTCCGGCTTCTGCCGCATCTACCAGTACTTCTGCTCTTCTCTCTTTGAGGTCTTCCTTGATCGCATCTCTGCACTGCTTTGCGAGCTCAGACGTTAGCTTGCGGTTGCCTGAGGCATGCGCCAAACCACGCTGGCGAATTAGCTCAAGAGTTTTCGAAGATAGGCGATTTTTTTGTGGCTATCTCTCTCTTGGCGTTCCTCGCACATTCATGGAGGTGCTGAACCAGTCGATCGTATTCCTCGTCAATGTTGTCAACAATGGCATCTTCCCATGTTGCTGCAATAGTGCCAAAGAGTTCCCAGTTGGTGGTCATTCTGGGAGTTCTCTTTTTGAACTTTGCAGCCCTTTCTCCCCGCTCTGTGAAGTAGAATTTTGCACGAAGGAGACGGTGGTCCGATCCCGTTCGAAATTTTGGGACAACAGCGACATCAGTCAGGCAAAACCGTCGATTGAATATGATGTGGCCTATTTCGTTGTGGAATCGTCCACCAGGAGACTCCCATGTCCATCGTTTAGATTCTGCCTTCTGGAACTGTGAGTTACCATGAATGGTCTTGGTCGACATGATGAACTCAGACAGTCTCTCACCCTGTTCGTTCCATTCTAGGCCATGGGTCCCGATGTGAAGTTCTTCAGCTGATCTTCTCGGTCCTATCTTGGCATTAAAATCACCCACAATGATCTTGTAGAAGGTGTGGTCTTCTTTATAGAACTTCTCTAGCTCCATGTAGAACTTTTCGATTTCTCTTTCATCATAATGAGATGTTGGTGCGTAGACAACGAAGATAGAAACTGCAGGCAGTGAGCCACATCTATTCAAATGTAAACGTCCGATTCGGGTTGTTAGGCATTCGAATGAATCAATGCTCTTGTCCAAGTTTGTGTTGACAAGGACACCGACGCCTCCAACACCTCTTTTATCGCATGTTCCGAGGAACAATTCTTCTCCAGTGTCGAAAACGGCATGGTGAGATTCGTGCCTTCTTGTCTCGGTCAGACCAATGATGTCGTACTTGATCATTCGCGCTTGTACCATCAGGTCCTCGATGGATGCATCTGATGCTAGCGTACGTGCATTGAAAGTACAGACGATCATTTTTGTCTTCCTTCATTGTGGCAGCCTAGGTCGGCCTTGAGATTTTGTCGGCCTCTCCTTTCTCATCCTTCTCAGTGCTGCCATGTCGGTGAAGCCTTCAGGGTCAGGTGAATGAGACCAGTTGTAGTTACTGGTTTTGGCATATCGAATACACAGCGGATAGCTTGCCAGGCTCTTCCGTGCGGGCGGAATACTCTCGGTAGCTTGCCAGTCTTTCCGAGAGGGATAGAGGCTTTTGGGGCAACCTCTAATCACCCTTGTAGGTGTTACCATATTTGAACCCTATCAAATATGGTACAAC